GGGGGGGTGAAAATCCTTCATACCATAAGCTTGATTGCTGGGCTATCAGAGCCACCTAGAGATGGTGAAACAAGACACTAGGGCACCCGTCCTGGGCCCGCTTGGGATGACAAAAAGGGAATCTGTCCTCCTGAAGGAAGCAGAAGCTGAAAGGTATACTCTCATACAGTTCATAAGCCAGGGCTGAGGACGACAGTAACAGATAGCTGTGAGTTGGTGGCTAAAACCACCAGCAGCAATTGCTGTGGATGAATCTTTATTAAAGAAGAAATAGTGGATCAAAGCTTAAGAGCAGAGGTGAAGAAAAGACATCCATCCTCCTAGGGCACAAGCAAAAATCTGGGGCATGCTGGTAGTAGGAAGGATTTTATCCTCAGCTGGCCTACAGTTTTCTGGCTTGCCAGTGTCATTTCCTGCTCTATGAGGTAGTATAACCCAAAGGTTTAAGACTTCCTATGTCCCTGTGGATGAGAAAGAATTGTAATTTTCCATTATATAACAAATAGTGTTGAAATAACTGCATGCATTATCATTTAGAGAACTGACCCCCATAGATAACCAAAACCTCACTGTGACTAAATTTTAAGAGCTCATCAGTGCAAGTGTATAATGTGATGTGATCATTTAGCAAATGATGAGTATATTATAGCCTCAGCATGTGTTTGGTTTCTGGTTTGGGATGTGGAGTATGGCTCCTCTTTGAATCTTTGTAACGCGCTGTCATTTCTCATTGGCAGCAAATTGTTTCACGTACGACAGGTGACACAGACAGATGTGTATCGAGCGGACGCCAAGGAGATACCTAGGATATTCCAGGCAAGTTAAACTTGTGCATGTGCCATTATAATAGTGATGAACACCTATGAGTTTCAGGAGAGGTATCTATTAAAAATAATATAAGTAAAAAGTAATTTACATTATATTTGCTCCCCACTGCCCCATGATGTAGTATTATGGATCTGATGATGCAGGTCCACCTTCACTTGGATGATTGTTCTGGGACAGTGACTCGGAACACTAAACTCAGGGAAAGCAACTAGCATTTTCAGAAGGTCAGCAATGACGCACTCTGTATTTTTCAGTGCAGTTTTCCTTTCAGTCTGTCACATGGTATAAATAACAGCAGGATGAGTTGCTGTTGATTGTGAGAGGACACTACTGCTAGGTACACTTCAGCTGTTATTACATCAATGAGTTTAAAGGGAAATCCCCTCTACAGTTACTCCGGAGTCCTCCTTTAAGTGCAATGGACATGAAAGTGTAACAAGAAGAAATTATTGATGAATCAATCCTCATACTGATTTTAATCTCCTGTCTTACAGATCTTATATGACAATGAAGGAGAAAGCAAGAAGGAACAGGAATTCCCGGTGGATCCCGCTGAGAAGTCGAACTACATTTGTCACAAGGGTCACGAGTTCATCCCCACCCTCTATCACTTCCCGACCAGTTGTGATGCCTGCATGAAGCCCCTGTGGCACATGTTCAAACCACCTGCTGCCTTAGAGTGTCGACGCTGCCATATCAAATCCCACAAGGACCACATGGATAAGAAGGAGGACATGATAGCACCTTGCAAAGGTAACTCTGGTCTGCCCTATTGCCACCATGTGTTTAGGGGAAGTACCCAGACTATACAATAGAGTAACTCCATTCAACCAAGCTTAAAAGTGACAATTGTAAAACATTAGCAATAGCAGGCACTTCTGATCTCACAACAATTTTACCAATTGGGTTGGCTTATTTCAGGAAGTAGTCTGATGTCCCTGGACAGGTGCTGCAAGTGTATGCGGTATATGCACAAGATAACTGTATAACAGTGGATTGCTGTAAACCATCTTAGGCATGTTCAGCTATTCTGCTTTAAAGAGACCCTGTTGCCAGATCATTCAATAAAATCTTCCCACAAGATTATATGCGGATTTACCATGTTTTATGCATGTTTTTAACCTGTAAAAGCCTCATCCAAAAGACATCCAGAAGCCCTGAGACTGCTGGGTGCTGCTGCCATCTTGGATGTGATGTCAGCGCTGTCACTCAGCTAGACACTCCGAAGAAGAGGAGAGGAAATATCATGAGCTCAGTTTTGCACACAGGGTGTTAGGAAGTGGTGTGGCATCAATACTGATATGTCAGTTAGCACATTAGTGATGGACAAGGACACCGAAGCAGTCAACTAAGGAGAGAGATGGATATGTGTGCCATCAGCATAGAGATGGTATTGTGAGGTTATCAACTAACCAAGGGAGGAGGTGTAGATAAGAGAACAGATGCTACCAAGCGCATACATAATCAGAAAACAATGCATAGAATTAAGGTTCTCAAAACATACCGCTAAGATGCTAGTAAGCGTATCTACTTCACATGTTTTATGTAAAAACAAAAATTGAGGCTAAAATTCCCTTTCAAGATCTTATTTCCTGTAATGTTTCCTTGTAGTAAACTACGATATTTCCACGGCGAAGAATCTACTGTTACTAGCAAACTCCACAGAAGAGCAGCAGAAGTGGGTGAGTCGGCTGGTGAAGAAAATCCCCAAGAAGCCACCAGCACCTGATCCCTTTGCCCGCTCCTCTCCAAGAACTTCCATGAAGGTACAGCCAAACACGTCAATCAGGCGGCCTAGTCGACAGCTTCCTCCAAACAAACCCAGGTAAGTCCAGGACTGGATTAGGAGGAAGGGAAAACTGGAACCACTGGGTGGTGGAAATAGTTAATGCGTCATTAAGCTAATAAAGGCTCAATCTATGCCATTGTATCCTTCCCTGCTAGAATTTCCTCCTGCACTTATAAAAGCTGTAGGTAACTAGTGTTCCTTGCTTTGCTTGGTCTTCACCTACTACACAATCACGGTGGTTAGAAAGTAACTGGAATTCACATCTTCGCCATGCCTGTAAAAGAAACAAGTGGATACTTACCTTTTCTGTGCCTGTGCCGCCACAATGACTCTCTGTGTGTGAGAAGTCCCCTGCTGAAGTCCTGAAACTGACACTTGGGGAGTGCAGATCTCCTGTCGCCCTCACAGTGTTTGTGGAATAAGGGGGGTCAAAGGGAGGAATCACTGAACACTGTTGGGGACCCAGAAGATCACCACTACTGGGTGTGTCATTTTACCTTTTGACTTCGGTCGGGGATTTCTTGCAAATGGAGCAGTGTTATTTTAATACACTTGGGCTGGGTCACTGGTTCAGTTTATATCATTCCATATGAAGATGACATCCCCACAGTAGTAGCTCTGTTCTGTCAGAGATTCTGTAATTAGATTCTCTGGATGGGATGCTTGATTTGCCTCTCAGTACCGAGCACTAGCTCCTAGGAGGAAGGGGAAGGGTCACATGCTCCCCTTTGCCCAGATATATTGGGTATTTCTGAAGGCTCCCACATAAAACCAGAGCATCGGAGAAGCACAGTATCCATGGACGTCACTCCAGAACCTGTCACTTTAAGCTCTGACATTCTAAGTCTTCAAGCGCAACACATGGGGCTGAAGCAACACACAAAGTTCAGGCACATATCAGGAAATGAAACAGACTACATGTATTTAAAACTGCAGTAAATAAATGTACAGAGCCCTTAGAAAGGTTATCTGTAGTAATATATCTATACCTCTGCTCCCGAGGTGTCAGTAACTGAACAAAAAAGCCATGTGCATGTTCTGTGTGCAATGAGAGCTGACCCTTTATTCATGCTTGTGTGTGACATATATTCACATATTCTTAACCATTCACAAAATACAAGGCGTTCTGTGAATCAACAAGGGGAGAAGAGGTACAGATAAACCACAGTATGGATTCTGGGTAGGAGAGCCACCGCTCTCATAGTTGCAGCACCAGAAATGTAGCGACAAAGTATCTGCCATCAATGGAACTGTAATTAACAAAGACGCAATGGCGATCCTGATGGTGGCATTCACCTCATGAGACTATCTCCAGGGAAATACAAACGCTCTCCTTGCAGTGGGGCTGCCCCTGACATCATCACATCTAATGCAGGGCCCATAGCTTTGTATTATATGCGAGGACTGCGAGGGACAGTCCAAAAGCCTGAGCAGAGGGGAGAGAGGTAAGCACCAGGGATCAGGTAAGTAAAATTGCTTTACACTGTCCCCTAGACCTAAATAAGCAGTTGTAGGGGGGCAGCCCCACTACATCTAGAGGTGCTTATTTTTCTGGAGATGGGCTTTAATTGCTTGTTACATAGCTTATTGTATTAAAAAAGCTTTGCCGGTAGTTCTGCTTTAAAATTATTGAATATATATATAGATCATTTGATTGTGCTATCTCCCCTAATTTTCACACCTTGGCATGGTATATGCATTGGTATCATTCACAGAACATTAGGGCTGCAACTAACAATTATTTTCATAATCGATTAGTTGATTTTTCGATTAATCAGATTATTGGGGGGTGGGCGGATTCCTGGTCATTCATAAATGGAGCAGATAGTAAATAGATACTATGTCCACAATCATGAACAGGAAGGCATGTCGAGCATTTCCTGTTTATTCATCATTGGGGCACAGTATCTGAATACTACCGTGTTCCCCCGAAAGTAAGACAGGGATTTCTGTAATATAAGACCTACCCCGAAAATAAGACCTAGTTCGGTGGTAGGTCTTATATTACAGAAATCCCTGAAGATAGCACTAGGTCTTATTTTCGGGGTAGCTGCACATATAACTGAATCTTAAATGTCAAGACCAGCCGCAGCTCCTGCCCGCCCGCCCGATGGAAGCGGCATATCATCCGCCAACTTCGACACCGGGACCGGGCAACAGCACGCCGCCTTCCGGGACCTCGTCCAGTCCTGTGAGTACTCCTCCCCCAGCTGCCGCCGGGACTTTCCTGTACTAACACTGCTCGAGAGCGGAGAGCTCCAGACAGCTGAAGCCAGGTAAAAAAAAAGACATCCCCCAAAATTAGACCTAGTGTCTTTTTTCGTGTAAAAAAAAAAAATATAAGACAGTGTCTTATTTTCGGGGAAACACGGTATGTACTGATCACTGTGATGTTTGAATATTACAGGGAGCTATCAGAAAATATTTCACATGTTAGCTAATCATTCCCACAGCTCTCCTCCCTGCACCACCATAGTCAGCCTCCTAACAGCTTTCTTCTCCCCGCTGGGTGCCGGCAGGTGGATCAGCTCTGTGTCCCCTCCAATCCCTCCTGCCTCTGCCGATAAAGGTGGGGGAGAGCAGCGGGAATCAGTATGCAACAGGCTCCCATCATAGAGGAAAAAGCTGCATAGCCAATGCGGCGGGGGTGAAGGGGAGGTTTGGTGGGAGCAGAGGGGACACAAAGCCGATGAAACACCGGTTCCCAGTGCAGAGGAGAAAACCAGGGGACCCAGACCAACTCAATAATGAGAATCGTTGACAACTATTCTCATTATGGAATAATAAATTAATTGGTGGCAGCCCTACAGAACATCTTTCACAAGTCATTATGTACCGTCACAAAACGTGTGTCCATCTGCTTTGGCATCATCTTTTTTTCCTCTTCCTCCTACTAATTCTGTTTCTAGCTCTGGCCCCGCCCTCCGAATCATTCTGCATTGATTTATATTAAGTTTTGTGAAACAGTAAGTAAACTTTGCCAAGTCCAGCATGCATCTCCTCATGACCAGTGCCAGGCTTGCAATGCACACTAACCATTACATACTAACATACTCGCACTAATGTCCTGTTTTGGGTTTACTGTACTCGTTGATGTTTCAACTGACACTGGTCAGCTCAGAGCTTGGCTTCCGTTTGTCATATTACTATTCCTAGTGAGCCAACTACCAGTAGGTGTATGGAACATCTGAAATGTGGAAACTTGCCTTCTTTTAGAGAAAAACTGTTATATTAGTAGAACCGATATACCAAAAAAAAGAAATAATAATTAAACAGAGCAGGGAATCTGGTGTATCTGCCTGTGGGTGGCCGTGGCAGCTTTTTGTACCGTGCTATGTAGACACTTCCGTTCTGGATTCTGAGAACAGGTAGGTCAGTCAGAGTGGAGGTAACCTAATCCCGATGCTCTCCAATCTGTATCGGGAACCAGTCATATGAAAGGAGGATACCTTAGGGGTTTGCTCACAAGCCGCCTACTCCTAAACCTCACCGCTCCTGTTGCAGACTACTTGACCTGGCCTTTAAGGACTGGGACTGGTCCCTGGATGACGTAGAGGATGATGGGGACGATGTTTTTGATTTCTGAAGCAGTAGACTGGGTAATTGGTCTTGCAGATTGATCTGAACGTTTACAGCAACCTATATTCCCATGCCTGTGTTTGAAGTGTGCATCCTATTTGCAGAATTGAAGATGTTAAAAAGTGCACCCGCACCCTACACAAAATGGAGAATTAATACTGATGACAGTGGGAGCTATTCAAACCTTTATAAACAGAACCATGATATTTGTTCTTCGTGCCTCCATGATGGAGAGGACATGGGATTTGTAATGCTGCTTTAGCCCATAATGTAGACATTTCTGGTCAGGCATCTTCTCCCTTTCTTGTGGCTGAGGCGAGTAGAAGCATTGAAGGGAGACTGATAGTTTACTGAGCAGTAAACACAAGCAGGTGGTCTTAAGCCTGACACTTCTTGTGCCTGATATGGCAAGCTCCATTTTGTGTAGGAAAAGGTATACTTTAGAGGCTAAGTTCACCTAAAACTGAATCTCTTGTGTACATCAGTCAGTAGAAAGTGAGGATCACCAGCACTCCGAAGATGACGTTCAAATCCTTAGTGTTCATTTATTCAAATACATTGTCGCATATATCACATAGCCAATGTTTCGGGGCCACACAGGGTCCCCCCACCTTGGTCACTATGTTGCCCTGATGCAGGGACCCTGTGTGCCCCCAAAACGTTGGCTATGCGATATATGCGACGATGTATGTCATGTGACGAGTGCTGGTGATCCTCACTTTCTACATACTAAAAAGACTGTCACTGGCAGCATCTTGCCAGCAACAGATCACTAAAAGGGTTCCTACTGCACTCTTGCTGGCTGAGATTCTGCACAATTGTCGCCTACCAGTGCAGAATCAGTGATGGAACAACAGTGATAGACGCCATAGGAGAAGGTGAGCGTTCACTCTTAGTGTTGATCCTTTTACAGCCAACTTGCCACTTGCGACCAAATCGCATTTCAGGTTTGACCCCATAAAAAGTATTTCCATTTTTTTTTTTTCTGTAATTGCTTCAGCTATCTGATTGGATGCTGTAGCTCAACCTGCTATGTAGATCTCTCTCCAGCAATCAGAATACATTATGCATCAAAAGATTAGCACAGCGTGTGATGGATTCAACTGTCAGGTCTGTTATAGCTGGTGTGGCATAGCTGTAGTAGTTGGTCACATTCAGCCGGACTTGTTTAGTAATGTTCAAACACCAGTGCAGTTGAATGTGACTAAGGCTCCATTCACACAAAGCAACCTGGTATTCCTGCGGCAGGAACCTACGTATTCCTGCTGCAGGAATCCCAGGTGTCCCCATTCAGATGGGGCCGTGGTAACTGTTGAAGTTAATGACAGGGTGAGAGTAGTCGCATCTGTCAGATGTGGTCCACATGTAATCGTACGTGGTAAGATTACCTGTGGTTCTGGATAGATGATTGTCCCTGGATGCATCCAGGGACAATCATCTATTACAAACCTCATGTAATAATTTCACATACGATTACATGTGGACTGCCGCTGAAAAATGCGACCAATGTAACTCCAAGGGGCACCACGTCCACATCTGAACAGGGACACCCGGGATTCCTGCAGCAGGAATATGTAAGTTCCTGCTGTAGGTATGCCAGATCGCTCTGTGTGAATGTAGCCTTAGTCACATTCAACTATCATACCAAGTACGATTTAATGTGGACTGCCGGTGTTGGATGCGACCGCTGTCATTAACTGGAACAGGCATAGTGGCTGCATCTGAACACTGACACCTGGGATTCCAGCCACAAGAAGGTAGGTTATGTGTGATGTAGCATTACTGCTAATACCTATAGCACGTGTGTGATTCACTTTGCTGTGTGTGTTTTATATTCATTTATTTTTATTGTACTATAAAATTGCTTTTTAAAACTGAAATACGTTCCTTCTATCTTGGTTTAATGCCAGTTGACCCAAATGGAAGCCGTGGCTCAGTTTAACTGATTTTTGTGCAGAAGTCTTGCAAAGATTTGAAATAAGTGCATGCTATACGATAATGATCATTACCTACCTTGTCTTCTGGGGGCGTATTCACCACGGACAGGGCTGAAAATCGCATATATAAAACAAACAGCAGTGGAGGAAATATTGTGAGTTCAGAGTTTTCATTAAATCCCATCCACCGGGCAGAAAGAAAATCAATCAATTCCCCCATCTAAGTTAAAGTGACACTAAATCAGGAGTTAAATCTTAAAAATTTATTCAAGCACCTTAATGCGGACCTTTACCCATATCTTCAAAATAACAACAAACACTCCTTTAGAAATGTTTAGTAATTACAATCTACAAACACATACTTCTAGATAATTGCCGGCTTTTTCCTTCTCTGCATACCTTGTTTTTCTTTTCTGCTCATTCTTTTCATGGTGGACATTTTTACTAAGGGCAGATAAATATATCTCACTTTACTTCCTGGAACTCTGGCACATGTGATTAGAACATGTGACCATGTACATCATCTCAGGGGAGGAAAATGCCTTTCCCTGAGATCTCATGAGATTACAGATGAGATTTCCCAGCAATGCTCTGCTGATGTAATCTTCCCAGGATGCAACGCTTGGGCACGATTACATCATTTGTGCCGAAGAGAACCAGGAAGTGGAAAAACAGTAATTGTATGTAAACTAAAAATATGAATGTAAGATGATCCCATATGTGATGTTTAGTCAGATGGTCAAGGTCCACTTTAACTATTAGAAAATGTATCTTATTTGTGTATCACTCGGCTGTAGATCCTCCAATCATCTCTGAATTGGTGCTGACACTGTCCTTCCTTCTGGAGGGGGGCTACCCCATGGTCCCTGTGTGTGTGGTAGAGTAGTCACCGCTCCAAACTCGCTCCCCTAATGAACTGCAATCTCAATACAAAGGAGGATCTACAGCCGAGTGATACATATATATATATATACATTTTTATACATTTTTATTAATAGTTAAAGGAGAACTATGAGGTGAGTGATTTCCACTCATCCTCATAGTAAGAGCCGACCTGTGACAATGAAACTGTCACATGACTCTATAGATCGGGAAGTCAGCGAACACATACCATTGCTCTCTCACTTCCCAATCATCTCCCTGCAGAGAGCGGTGACTGACTTCCCCCCTCCCCTCTCCGATCCTCCAGTGCTGACTGGGAGGGGGCAGGTTAGCACAGCTGGCTCTCTCTAGATAGGCAGAGCCCGCTGTTGGGATCCGTCCCGGCGGCAATTGCCCGCTATATACTGAGCTTTGGGTCACGTGAGGGCGTTAGTATACGTCCTCCCGTGACCCTAAAGAGAACTAAGGGATAAAAAGGTTACCGCATAGTTCTCTTTTAAGGTACTTAAATGCATTTTTAAGATTTAGTGTCGCTTTAAACAGCTGCTATAGGTGTATTTTGTGGTGGAGTGGAGGGAGTCCCTTCTTTGCAGTCCAGGAAAATATAGAATCGTTATAAAGTGTACCCGTCCTATCACAAAAGTAACAGCAGGCGGCAGTGATTGGCTTCACATATGTTCCTCCATGCTGCGCCGTGGGAGGTACGTGGAGACAGCGGCTGGTCCCTGCCTTCGGTCCTCGGTGACGTGACTTGCTTTGTAAGCCTGCAATGTATTTGTTAGGACCGATCTCCTAATTGCTTCTCCCTTTGTCTTTTTCTTGCAGCTAACTGCCTTCTGTGAATGCAGTACCCATTTCAAGATGATGATTTCTTCCAGCGAAATGAAAAAAAAAAAAAGACTGAATGCAAAATACGATGTCCTGTAATGTCAAAAAATTTAAATATATATTTTTTTCCTGAGAGACTGTGCTATATATATCAGAGGTTTACAAAGTCGTTGCTGCAATATATAAAGGAGAGGAAAAAAACCAAAACCCTTAACTAGTGTATTTTGCCTGTTGAGTGGCTTTGCTCAGGGTGGTCAGAGGTAACTGGGAATTCATGGAAAACAGACCCTGGATTATTGCCCTTAGCTCAGCGTCCGAGCTCTCAGGTAACGCCCCCTCCGAGTCCTCCAAACGAGAAAAAAAAAAGTGACATCTTTTGAACAGTGATTTTTTTTCTCAGCACTGAACCATCTACATCACCCGAGGACGGCCGACAGAGCTGGTTACCAGATCCAGAAAGGTTCCTCCTCAGAATATCACACTACATATGGACTACAAACACGGGCCCGCCGTCATAACCGTCGGGGGGACCCCCCTCCCATGCTGTGTATAGCTCCGATGCAGCCAATCGGTGAGCTCCGTAGTGGAAGACCTTTATACCGTGTATATATTCCTAGCGTACCGTACTGCAGAAACGGCTATGTCAGAACGCCACCGTTTTATTTTTGTACTCCTCGACCGATACCTTGCCGTCGCACCTATGCACGTGTACAAAGCCATAGTGTTTTTACCCTGTGTCCCCCATTTCGAGGGATTCGATGAAAAATAAACTGCATGCAAGCGCTGAGCAGATTCAGTCTTGAAGCCTTTGTAACTGCAATTTATATCTTCCAAATTAAAACAAAAATCTGGATGCCTTAATTTTAAAGATGTCAAATTCTTTTTTTGTTTGACCATTCCATCAATAAACTCTGGCCCGCTGGTTACAAAATCAGCTGATGTAGTGCTGGGGATGCTGTAGATTTTGTCTTTTTGTTGGATAGCTCACTGTTTTTTTTACACTCACACTCATCATATATCATTGCCAGGCTCTTTTCTGAATGTATGGAAACTGTTTGATGCTAATATTATACTATACCCTTCCACCTTTAAATGACACATTGCGTTTCGGGCCTCAGTATTAGTCACTGAAAGTAACTTTTTTTTTGACCTTTAGATTCCCATTGCCTGCAGAGTGGGATGGCAGCCATTTTGTATGCTGAACCAATGTTTTGCTGCCTATGAGTTTGCATTTTCAGGGCGGATATATTGGGCCTGTCAATGTGCTCTTGTTGCCCATAGAGACTAATCAGTGTCTCCCTTTCACATTCCCATTATAGTGAAGGGGAAGAACTGGTTGCTGTGGACAAGTACAGCTCATCTTTTAGAATTATGAATTACAACCACTGGGCCTGATACATAAACAAATCTGTTCCCCAATGTAGTGACCCACCTCATACTTTTCTATGGACAATAGAGCTGCTCCCCATTCAAATGTGTTTATGACCTGAAGACCCAGCAAGTGACTAAAGGGTCCAGTTATAAAACATTGGCATAGCCAGTTCTAAAGATGCACCCAATGACACTGCAGGTACATTCGTTCTGTGCAAGTTAACCAGCTGTTGTTAGAATGGGGCAAAATCCAATGTTCTCAATGTATTCTCTCTTCTGGTCGAGTGTTCATCAATAGGTTCAATTATAAAGAACACAATGAATCAATAAAAGGGGCACTAGGTGGAGCTGAGGATCAAAGGAAATAAATGGTAAGAAGTTACAATTCAAGAGAATGCTGTTGAGAGTGAGAATATAATTGTAACCATTGCTATCCCCGTATTAGCAATTGTTACATTTCTATGCTCTTTCCTTCCGGCAGGCTCTAGAATTGTAACATGGTAATTCATTAGCAGGATAAACATTGCGTCCCCGCTTCCAAAACTCTCAATCCCAATTCCAAGCAGCCTCAGAAACGCTGGCTGCTGACCATATAAGCTCATCTCACCTCTACAAACGCTTGGTGGCATCTCCGGTATCATCACTCCGAAAAGCTTTACGCCTCATTCACACAGCTTAGAGTCGGCCGGTACAGATCCATGCGGCGTACACGACCCTATCGGGCTGTTCCCGGGAAGGACAGGTGCTGTGTGTGATTTGTACGCAGCAGCCTGTTGTTCCCTATGGGAGGACGCTGCCGTACGCTCACCCGAGCTGCACGTCCGTGCGGGTGCTCTGACGCATACAAGATCCATCCTGTCTGCATACGAGTACGGACACCTGCACGGACATGCAGCTCGGGTTAGTGTACGGCCGCGTCCTCCCATAGAGAAGTACAGGCTGCTGCTCACAATAACACGAAGCACCTGTCCTTCCCGGGAACAACCCGATATGGCCGTGCACGCAGCACAGATCTGTACGGGCCGGCTCTTAGCGGTGTGAATGAGGCCTTATTATAAAATGAACAGAAGTCCATTATGCAATCCCCATCTAAGCACCGCCCATTAACCCGTATCACCCACCAGGGCTTCATTCTACACATTGTATCTTGTTACTAACATGTATTTAGTTCCTATGATCTTCAGCTCCATCTAGTGGCCATAGTGTGGTATTCAGCTAAGTCACTCTGTTCTTTATGAACGAACTTATTGAAAAACATTCGACCAGAAGAAACAATACACTAAAAACATTTGATTTAGCCCCATTCTCAAAGCAGCTGGTTAACTGGCATAGAACAAATGTACCTGCAGTTTCGCTGGATGAATAAGCTATGCACACTTGTTATGAATAGACCTCTATAGCGTGTGGGAACTAGCAACAACTGCTCCTATACCTTCATAATGACAGGTTCACTTTAATGTATTATTGTCAATTAACTCTAGATATGTAGGCCTAATGTGTGAAGATACCTATGGGTCCATTAACACTGCTCCGTGCTCGTTCACATGCATTTTTGGTGCATTGGCATGTTCCGTGGACCCTCAACACGTATTCCGCCATTTCCTATTGCACGTGTTGCGGTGCACTGAGGGTCAGGTGCATGTGGGACATATGTGAGCTTTGGGAGTGCACCTCCTAATGCCTACAATGTGCATTGCTGCGATGTGTGTCAATTTATGTGAATGCACTGTGCAAGGCGCATGAACCGGTGTGCATGGGCCCCTAATGAAGAATTCTCAGTGTTGTCAAAGCAAAGTCCCGAACTCTCATACACAAGGCTCTGGTTGAGTGCTATGGCCCCTAAGGACTTGTACAGCATTCAGAAATAGCGGTCGGCTAGACTGCCACCTGGCAGACGGTAACCAGGCCACAAAATGGCTGCCTCGGCTTGCCTCACCTCGTAGGTGAAGGGGTACGCACCAAGTGCTCTGACTTTTGTTTTGGCCTTCTTTAGCCTTCTCTTCTGTTTTTATCTCCGGAAACGCGGGAAATCTTTGGATTGAATAAGTGTATTTTTTAAAATGTTCCTGACACACGCACATAAACCGTGAGCTGTCACAAGCTTCAGTCATACTGTAGATGTATTTTAATATTTCAGGAACTGTTCTTTAGCACCTAGCTGTAAGGTATGGAATCCATTTCGTACAGAACATTTTGAAGAATGTTTAGCTGGGATATAAAATGAAATAAATAAGGACCACGGTGGTGCTTATTTGAAATATTTTTACATGGTCTTATAAAGAAAATATATATATATAAATATAATTTATGTGGGCTCATGCTGTACACCTAAATATCCCTCAAAGTGCATGTTTTATACAGAAAGCAGTATGATAAAATGTTAACCATATTGACAATAAAATATAACATGGAGCCTTCAGTGCCTTGTGTATTTCTATTGGGAATCTGTGGATGACTTCTGGTACATTGAACAAGTCTGAGCGTTTCATTTAGCCGTCGGTTGCTCTTCTTTAGGGCTGGTGCAGACCTGAGCGATCCAGGACGCGCCTCTCGGGGTTGTGCACAAATTCCAGGCAGTGATTGCCGTGCGGCCCCATTGATTTCAATCGGGTAAATCCACGCGGCAATTGCAGAAAAAAAGTACATGTACCCTTTTTTTTTTTTTGCAATACACGGCGCGCGGCTGTTTTAGCGAGGGCGGAATTGCGGCGGGAAACTGCGCGATCCGCCCGGTGTGACTGGGGTGCCATTAGAAAATAATGGCACTCACAGCGCAATTGTCAGTGATGGGCGACTCCATGACCGCGCGGCGATCCGCATGGTATCGTGCATGATGGCCTTGCAGTCACGGATCGCCAAGGTGTGCACTGGTCATAAAGGTTCATTTTTGTGCCTCTGAGGCTAGGTTCACGCCTAGGCGACTGAGCTGGTGAGCTTTTTTTCGGGCGCTTGTCTGCTGCTTGAAAACTGGGCGGTTATCGCACGGTTTTCAATGCATAGAGATGTCTATGGGATCCCAACCGCCCGAAAATAGCTCCTGCACCTTTTTGCACAACCGCTGATTTCGGCCGCACGACAAACCGCAAAGGTGTGAACAGCCTCCATTGACTTCAATGCGGATCTGTGTTTTGCGCGATAAATCGCCCAGGTGTGAACCCAGCCTCTAAGGAAACCACTTCGTAAGGTTACTGCTGCTGATGTCTTTAAAATGCTAGTTGGCTGTTTAGTAGTGATGAGCTGGGGCTTGGTGTAAACCCAGTTCACCGGAATTTCCCCAAGGCCGCTCTAAACTCTGTCCACCACCCCTTCCTCCCAACCCAATCGGTTAAAGGGAGGCACATTCCCGGCCCCGCAGCTATAGGTCACAAAGGGGCGAAGAATGTCCCCGCCACATCTGCCACCACTGATTGGGATGGGAGGAGGGGTAGCGGTCTCAGTTTTGAGCAAGCTTAGGCAAACTTTCATTGTTCATGCCAAGCCCAGGCATATATCTACGGGTTAGTACAGTCCTTCGGAGGCCAGTGGCTCATAACATTGAAGCCAAGTGATCAGTTAAGAGGCAGGGCACTAAAATAAAAGGGTCATCATCTGTTCTTGTACACTGCCCTGGGAGAATGTGTAGACGGCCATGTCTAAAATGACACTTCTACTTGCTTGGCTTTCTTTACAGCCCAACTCCAGAGCAATGAAAGGTTTCCCCCGCAGGCAAGGGTTAACTTCTAGTTTATGCCTAGGGGACGGGAAAAGTTGTTTTACTTCCCTGATCCCTGTAACTCAGAACTCTGTAGTGAAGGAGAAATCTGCAGACTACTGATCACTGCAGTTTATTTTGTCCTTGGCTGCTCTACGTAAAGAACGTGCACTCTTTGCCCAGTTATCCATTTTAGGGTCAGACACCCTTCCATAACGCCGCCCTCCAAGTCCAGTATAAAGGACTCAATGGAGATTGCAGCATGTAGGTGGGAGGGAGCAGAAGAGCCCGGCTGAGGGAGTTTTTGAAGATGCTGCGTGGTGCCACAGGGGACCCGCAGCAATGATCTGAGCAGTGGAGACGGGTAAATGTGACGCTTGAGAGGGGTGCCGAGAGAAGATGTCTGACCCTGAAACGGATAACTACTTTGCCCTTTGTATTGAACCTTTCCAGGAAAGTTGGAGGCCGCCATTGCTGAAAATGCTGCTTGTCTGGTTAGCTCCCGAATGGCAGCCAGTTTCCAGCGCCATCTGTCCACCTCTCTGAATACCCAATACAACCTCACCGTGATTACCAGTAAGTATTATAAGGAGTGACAACCCATGTGATTGTTATTCTGAGCTGTGAATTGTGTGATTGTTCCTCTAGACCAGGGGTAGGCAAAACTCCAGCCTTGGTGAAACTACATATCC